AACACAGTGAAAAATTGCCTCCTGAAATTTAGGATTATACTGAAACACATGCTTGCATTTCCTTAGGGTTAAGCACATGCTTATTAATCATGCACGAATCTGCAATACAGATATTACAGCAGTAAACATTACCATCAAATTTCCTCTAAATTCCCATCTCAAAGTACACCTCATTTCCCCATGATTAGACCTTACTGTGTCATCAATTGCACATTTATGGCAGGGGGTAGAGAGAGAAAGATGAAACAATGTGGAGATCATCAGTTTTAGAAATAAAAATAGTCCAGGAATATGTTTGTTGGTGGAACTTCAACTCGGTTATGGGAAACTAAGCAAACACCTGAAGCATGCTGGCACTGCTTATAAACTAGCAATCTATTTTCAATTGCATGCAATAACTTTTTTTTTTTTTCTTTTTAAGAAAATTAAGCTTCAAAAGGAGCAGGTTTAAATAACATTCAGGTTGCAGTAGAAATAGGGAAAGAAAGAAAACGAGAAGTCCAAGCTGACACTTGCAATTGTGCTGCACTAGTCTTCTATTAGAATTCCCAACCTTTTTTTTGTTGTTGTTTTTCTATTTCAGAGCCTTAGGGTTATTAGAATTGCATGCTTCATTTAGATATTAAAAGCAGCCCTTCCAAGTTGCCCATTGGAGTTGGCAACAGTGTCATTCTTGCACCCCTCTCTTGAAGCCTGAAGTTTCTGACAAACATAGGACGTACTGGTACAGAAACATAAATGAATAAACCAAAAGCATATATTTATCATGCATATTATTAACTCTAGGTGCTCTAACAATCTGTAGACAAACACTTAAAATATTAAATCCACAAGCAAATTCCTGAACAAATTGAAAACTCCCTATGATACTCTTCCACTCCAGTAATTCCTTTCCTAGTCCATTTGGTAAGAAATGCTTTTTGAGCAGCATAGTCTAACACTTATTTTCTCCGTGTGACTGGAAAGACTAGTAATTGAGAAATTAACAGATATGTTTTCTAGCAAATAGTACTTACCCTGAGCCTCTGCTGAGTCTCTATGTGGCCCTTACAGCATCGGCATTTGGCTGCTTTCCTGCCTAGTTGTGTGGTCTTGGGCAGAGCGGGTAAAGCCATCCAGCATGGTGCCCTTGGTTTCCCATGTTTCTTGGATAGTAGCACAAGCAGGACTTTTCAGTTCAATCACTAATTTCCCCCTTACTGATAAGCCAAATAAGGGATATAACTGCAGCACTCCAAGCAGGCAGAAGACATCCCAAACTACCCAAGTTGTTTGGGGCTTGTTTGTTTGTTTGTTTGTTTGTTTTTATGTATGTATATTTTTCACAATTCTTCCCTTTTTAATGCATGTGCCTCTCGGCAGGTCTCCTTTTTTACAGTTTTTTTGCAAGCAGCAGTTCTTTTCTGGTGGCTTCTTCGAAGCTCCCACTGGGAGGGTCCCCTGTGAGCTTTTTGCCCTGATCTGTTTGTCTTGCTTGCCACAACCCCGGCCTTCCAGAACAACGTGGAAACCATGGCACTTCTGGAAGGGGGAAAAGTGTGACAGGTGATGAGTTTTCTGGCTGATTGGTGTCTAACTGAGCAGCCAAAAGAGCTCAGAGCTTTGGGAAGCAGCAGAAATGGTGGAATAAGAGAGGAAAGAAAGGCTGTTCCTATGCTATTAATTAGGTTTGGAGCAGGGGTGCAGTTTTAAGAACCTCATAGTCTCCATTTACTGCACTTCTCAAAGTGAGTTTTCTTGAGTGCATGAACTACGTGCCGTTTAGTGTCGTATATGAAATTCTGTTGTCCTCATATGTTCCTTTCAGTATCTTGCTGTATATAATGAATAAAATTCAGAGATCTGAAAAATTCTTAACACTGTGACTACATCTGTGTAATTTCTGTCAAAGATTCAGAGTAATGTGAGAGAATTTGTGTAATTTGAAATTACAGATGTATCTCTTTTAACATACACCTACATGTTCTTTAATGCTAGTTGCATGTCTTGTTGCATATTTCTTACCTTAAGCAGCATTACGCTCAGACACATTGGACCATTTCACAGGTGCAGCATGACTGAGCTTGGGATGCTGTAATTCAGACAACAGGTGGATATAGCATGCACATTATCTTCTGGATGTAAATTGTGCAAGAAGCTGTACAAAACTTCAGAGACTGACTTAGGAACACATAGCTAGACTAGATCTCCTGAGTCAAAGAGTTTAGTTCTCTGGTATTGTAGATAGCTGTGTCATACAAATCCTTGTGTAGCATAAAATATGCTCTTCCACCAGTGTTAAGTTGGGTGTAACTTCCTAATGTCAATGAGGTGCAAGAAGAGAATGAGAACTCTTAACTAGGGTAGTATACATGGAGAAAAGAGATGGAAAAAGGTGCATGATACACAAAATAAAATTCTCTTTAGACTTGCTTTAGCCTCCTGCTTTCAATCACTGTGCATGAAAGCTTTTATCACTTGGTAATTCGGAAATTGCTTTCCAGCTGGTAAAAGCTAATGCTTATCTTTTGTAAATGTGTGTTTGCACCCCCCTCCCCCATTTCTTTTATGGAACTGAAAATATACTGAATATCTGGCTTCTGTTGATATCTGAAATCCACAACTGTGCTTTATTCCCTCAACTTCCTCCATACAGGATGGTCCGCACACTGTACGCCATCGGTGCTGTGTTTCTTCTGATGGGATTTCTGCTACCGACAGCAGAAGGGAGAAAGAGGAACCGTGGATCTCAAGGTGCTATCCCTCCTCCTGACAAAGATCAGCCCAATGATTCAGAGCAAATACAGACACAGCAGCAGTCGGGTTCTAGGCATCGAGAACGAGGAAAAGGCACTTCCATGCCTGCAGAAGAGGTGCTAGAATCTAGTCAGGAGGCATTGCACATCACTGAGCGCAAATACCTAAAACGGGATTGGTGTAAAACTCAACCCCTCAAACAAACTATCCATGAAGAAGGCTGCAACAGTCGTACCATTATCAACAGGTTCTGCTATGGCCAGTGCAATTCCTTCTACATCCCCAGGCATGTCCGTAAAGAAGAAGGCTCCTTCCAATCTTGTTCCTTCTGCAAGCCCAAAAAATTCACAACCATGACTGTTACACTCAATTGCCCTGAGCTTCAGCCCCCAAGAAAGAAGAAAAGAATCACCCGAGTTAAGGAATGCCGGTGTATATCTATTGACTTGGACTGAATTGAGACAAATGTAGTGATTGCACTCTGACTGTAAGCAATCATTGCCAGTGTGAGAGTAAGCAGCATGAACAAGCATGCCTCCGGGGCTTGGCAAAATTGAAAGCAACCTAGCAAATTACCTAAAACAAGTAAAAAACCACACACATAAAAAAAAAAAAGAAAAAATATCAATGTAAAGAAAGGGCATGCATGTGTGTGTTTGTGTGTAAGTGAGAAAATGGATGTGTGCAAGCAAATATATGAATGTTCACTACAACAAAAAGAAATTAACAGAGGTAGGAAATATTAAAAATAAATCTATTTACCTGCAGACATGAATTAGGTTTCCTAGTGTATATTCACATTTTTGCCGCTTGCTAGGAAAGTGGAGCTGTGGCTTTTGCTAATGTTCACTTGCCGTGCTACTTGCTTTTACTGTATTAAGAGAAATGTCAAAGTGAGAGGACAATATATTTAAAAGCATAAATCTATTATTACATACAAAGTAGGCAAGAAGCAGTTTAAAGCGTAACAAAACCATCACTGAAAATAGCAGCTGTATCAAGAGTTTGTAACATGCTTCTTCAGAAAAAAAGCTGTAGTCCAAAAGCCATGTCTGGAGAACAATGGGGGATGTGGGAGTGTTGAAAAGTCACTATAGGAGGATGGAAAACAGAGCTACAGCAAGTTAGAAAGCAAAAGGCCAAAGTAAGTAGATGGGGAGAGTACAAAAGGGAGTAGAAAAAGGAAAGATACATAAATAGGAATATACAGAGGAAGAGATAGTCTTCTGTTTATGTTTTGCTTTAATTTATATACCTAGTCATATATTACATAAATTAAAGAGAAACTATATACTAGGCTATAAATACAGTTCTGAATTCTAATGGCTCTCTAAACCGATCAAAACCCATTCTTGTGCCACTAGATCCATTTGATGTCTTGTATTTCTGATATCAGTTATTCTTCATATCTACATATATATATATGCAGTATCTTTTAGTCATGGGTTTCTATACATACATACAATGAGTATGTGTACTCCATTGTGTGTAACTGAACTCTCTCCTCTTTTTCACACACATACATAAAATACATAAACCACAGCACAAAAATCTTGCTAATTAAGATCAAGTACAAATGGCAGTAATTTAGTACATAAAGAGCAAAGCAAAAATTAAAACAAGCATCATGTGACTGCAAATGCAATAACCACACAAGAGACAAAAGACACGACATTCATGACTAGTAAACATTGCATTGTTATTGTTATTTTAGCTTTGCCACAGGCATGCAGTTTGTTGGAAAGGAGATGCAGAACTTTGCCAGCAATAATCCTCTTTTATATCTTTTACCACAGACTTGCATTTAAACTGAATTTGGACAAAGTAAAGAGAATTTCCTGGAAATTAAGGGCTAACTGCCCCTCTCATCTGGGGGGAAAAAAACATAAAAGGGGACACCATACTTCCAACAGCTTGATGAATCTCACCTGTGAGGTTGTCTTGTCTTCTCTTTCCTTCAGGATTAGAAGCTTAAACTTGATGAGGGATGTAAGTTTTGGCAAGAGCACAGAAGGTCCTGCAAAAGAAGCTGTTTTTAGTGAGGTGGACCTTCAGCCATTGAAACCAAGAGGCATGTTGCCCTTGTTTTACTGAGCACTTGATGAGAAGCCTGGGGGGTGTCTTACTGGCCACATCTCATACCACATAGTATGAGTGCAGGCTGCTTATGCTGTCCTGCATGCTGGCTTTGCAAGGGCACTCTCCAGCCAAGTGCTGAAGAGGTCACAGGGCGCTGCGCACTCTCAGACTGTATGTCGGTTCCCGTGCCTGTGCCTGCAGGGCCCTGGCAGCATGTCCTGTCTGATAGGATACCAAAGGAAAGGCATGTTCTTATGCCAGAGTCAATACCAGGCCTGAAAAGAATCCTGACATCATCATGGATGAGAGTGAAATGGGAATTAGGTCCACATTAATTGTATGATGGGACTTGAATAGTTCAGGACTCAGTTTCACCAGTCGGCAGCAATATTCTCTAGTATCATTGTCAGGGTAACTGTCTTCTCACACCAGATGCCTCTCTCAACCACAAGGTGGTTATCTTGACACCATTTCTGTCCACTGACCACACTTGTTATCTTCACACCATTTCTGTCCACTGAACACTAAGGAAGAAAATTTTGCTGTTACTAATATGCTCAAAGGAAAAAATATACATTGAGTGGCATGTCACAGGTGAATCCCGAGTGCCCTCATTATATTAGATGCTCCAGCTGTTACACAGTGCATCACACAGTTATTGGCAATATCCTGCATCTCTCCAATTAATATATGTTTATTGTAATATTCACTGCTGTGAGATCTGCATTTGTAAGATTAAGAGATTGTAACTCATTGATTGGTATTATTAAAATGCATTTCATCTGGTGTATTCTCACTCAGCAGGTTTGACATATTTCTTTAAGGATTTTAAAATCCAGTTTTAAAATCTGGAATTATTGGAGGTAGATTTCCACTGTGTGGAATGTGAATAGTTAAACAGAAAGATATGGCTATTTAATGTTATTGATACAAATCCTCTTTCACTGATAACAGGCAGGGGTTGTTTTCACTTAAATTACCTTTTTGAGTTGGTTTGCAGGGGAAAGGGTCAATCCCAGTTGTTGATGAAAGTTTCATTGCTGAAAGTTTTGTACTAGCTAGGGTTTCTGTTCAAGAAATGGGAGCACCTTAAGAATGAATTTTTCCCTTCATGTGAAGTTGACAGCAAAACTCCCATTGTATTTTACAGTGACCACTATGTCCCTAAACCCTTAGCCACTAAGCAAAGCTTTAGACATTACTTACTCCTTTATTTAAGATTAGGCTAGCATTCTGAAGGAAAATCGATAGAAGTTTTAGAAATTTTAGTTTTTATGTTCCAAAACAGCTCATGCATAGATCACAATGGAACTCCCCTTGAGGCAGATTCCCTCCCCCCAATATATAAATTTTATACAAAGAACTTCTATGAATTGCTAGTTATTGCCCGAGAGTAAGAAAGTTCTGCTAACTTACAATTATACAAGATATTTAATATCAACCATTTAAATGTCTGCTTTATTCTAAAAACAATGGACTATATAACCTAAGGCTGCAGTATTTTCATGCTCGGTCTCACAAAGCAAAACTTGGTTTAAAATGAAGTTTTAATTATTTTGTAACTGAATAGAATTGGAGTTTTTTCTTCCCAGCATTTTGTACGTCATTTTAACTACTAGTAACAAATAAATAAAATATCTTCTCCAGCCCATGTCTATTGTTGCATTTCTTTTTTTCATTTCCTCCTTAAGTTACCAGCTCTGTCTGGATCTGTTGTACTTTACTCTGACTTCTGTGGTTTCTTCTAATTATAAAAGGGCTCACATTATGACAATGAGACAGAGACAAGCTATGGCACCATCATTCAACACGGCTACTTCAATAAGGCTTTTAAATGAGATCTGTCACTTCCCCTCACCCTTCCACAATTTATAGAAAGAAAATCTCAATCTTTACTCACACTTTTCCCCTTGTAAACCATATAGTGACAGTTCAAGATATAAATCACCCTGGAACTGTTGTAGAGTTAAAGTTGGAGTCAGCGCGCCTGCCTTACACCTTAGCTCAGTTTTACGTCTAGCTAGCAGTTCACTCCCACTTTTAGAAAAAGAGTAAGGAACACCTTTACAATACAGCACATTAAAAGCTGTAAACAGGGACAGAGGTTAAAATAGATACAAAAAGGAACAGGAAGATTTGTTGCTGCTGGCAGCACTTAAGCAAGGTCAGGGTTGAGGAAGGACGGCAGCCACAGAAAGCAGGTTTTTTCAAACTTTCCTCCCCAGCAGTGGGAGATAGGCAGCAGTGGTATAAGTTTTACCTCTCCAACCTGCCATATTGTCAGATGTGTGAGGGACCTGGTTGATCACTGCAGATCTCATTGCAATCTTGCCATCTGCAGTAGTAGGGGCATTGTCTACCTGTATGAAGAAGGCTACTCTGACAGGGACCGCCATCTCACTGAACCAGACTGAGTACGATCTTTGATTTCGCATAAACCTCTGAGCAGTGATATAAGCCCAGTAATTTTTAGACATGTACCTTTTAGTCCAGAGGAATGAATGACACAGTCATGTATACGGTCATATAAGTGAACAGCATGTAGGGTTTTCCCATGGAGCACACAGATAACCAGAGAATAGGGTCAGATGTCTCATTTCCAGCTTTGAAAGCAGGGTGCCAGTAAGATCCAGTCTGTTCTTCCTTCTTGCAACAGTGGAGCAAAGCACTCTAGTAGTACTGGCTTTCTGGGGTCTTTTAAAGTTTGGGTTTTTTTCTATTTAGTCTTCCAGCTTTTTTCAAACTTCCAAAACTTACTGAAAGGATAATAACATTAAAATAATTAGTTTTAGAAGGCAATTGTCTATTTTTTGTTCTGAGATATGGCACAGTTGAACAGAATAAATTTCCTTGAGAAGACGCACATATATATTTATTTGAACATTTAAAACAGAGAGAAAAATCTCCTGGACTTACCCTTCTAGTACTCTGTAGTACCATGGTCTTACTATTTATATCCTAACAAGTTCAGAAACTCATTATAATTTACATTTGGCCTACATGCCAGCTTTGAATTGAAGATACATCCACTGTGAAGTCATCACTGCTTTATAGATCATTACACTGAAGAAGATAATGAGAGAATTCACGCACTTCAATCAGCTTTCAGGGGCACAGATAGAAGTAAGGCTATTTTGTCTCCCTCCCCAGTGAGGTAGGCTAAATTTCTGTTTGGGATTTCTGTGTGTGCTCTGTCATCCATGTGCTCTGCAGTTGATTTGCACACACGTTATAGGACTGAGGCATCAATAGCATGTCAGTTTTGCTAAGCATGTGCAAGACATCTGAGCAACACATGCGCACAGTAGGTATGGTGCATCCTGGATGGGTCAGTGGAACAGACAGCATTGTGGCTCCTCTCCAGCTGCCTGTCAGCAGCAGTGCCTGGCTGGGAAGGGGGACAATGCATTCGCAAAAATAATGCAGTAATTTAACCTTGTAATTTCCCTTCTCCTGAAAAGAAAAATAAAAGGAGCACCAGAGATCTGCACCCTTGTGAACCGGTATTTCTGTGTGCTATCCAGTGTACAAGAGTAAACCTAGAGTTGTTAGTTCTAAAACGTTTCCTAAAGGAGAAGAACCTAGTCATTGGTAGACTGAGATGAGAATTCTGACTTGCTTAACCCAATGATCTCCTTACATGATCTCCTTACACATTCTTTCTTTGCTTTTTAAAAAGCATACATCTTACTCACTCGAAGTAACTCAAACCTGCCTTAGAAACCACTTCATTAGTTACTGAAACACAGAAATCAGTACTGGCAGAAGGTCCCAATTTTTTTCTGAATCATTCTGCTTACTTGTGTGGTTGCACTAACCAAAGTCTTCTGAAAGGGAGATCTGCGTAACTTAAGATTTCAGGGACTGAAAAAATTAACGTGTATTTGGATTTAGCCAAAACACTGGAGATAGATATCACTGGTATGTGTTTTTAACAGCCATCCAATCTTGGCCTTAACGTATCAAAAAAATTAACCATAATAAGATTTAGACGCCTTGCTTTATTTTTTTATCTGATGAGACTGAAATCAGGAATATACAGCAACTCACAGGTATCATAACAAACCCCAGTGCAGATTTTTGATGCTACCTTGTAATGCAGCTTCAGAAAAACATCTGAAGCCTGTCTGCACTGCCTGCCTGGGAATGTAGCTGGTGACTTTAAGGTGCCCTTTGACAATGTGTGGCTTCTGGCTGCCCAAATTCCTCCTCTAGCTTTTATGGGTCTGGGGAGAAGAGAACAGAAATTTTGTCACTTGCTCCCTTTCCTATTATTTCTTAAAAGTACTGAAAATAAAATCAATAATCTGCCTTTTTCAAATGCACAAGGAGCAAGATAGGAGGATCAAATTATATATTGACATGAAAAAAAAAATGTTTGGGATTGCATTAAAGACCCCAAACTTCTAAGCTGTGATGAGCAGTAACTTCTCCTTGCTGTGATACAGATGTAAATAACATAGTTTGGGGATGACTCAAATGGAGAAGTTACACTGACTCCTCATTGAAGTTCTGCAAATAAAATTTGAAATCACCATGTTTGCATTTCTTTTTTTAAGGAATGCCTTATGGAAACAGCTATATTCCAATTCATATTACAAGAGATCAAAAGAACAAAGGTTAAAATAATACCTCTATCTCTCTCTAGAATAATTGAGAACTATATCTTCTCCTTCTGTCCAGTAATATCAATATGGATTCCAGCAAGAAAGCAATTGGAAAGAATTAATGTGTCACAGCTCATCTGGGACAGCAACACTCAAATTCATTAATCATAATTTTATAGTTACTTCATGGCATCACTACAGAGCACTGTTAATTTTGTTTGATTTATTTAATGATGAATTTGCAGGCCTTAATATTATTTTTCCTTTAAACTTTACTGAATTTCTGTTTTGTAATTAGTTTGTTAAAGCATAAAGGCGCAGTCTTTTGTGTATTTGAGAAGCAACATATTCTCAATCTTAGCTTTGTGTTAGTGTATTTTTCTACTCAGAGAATTAAAAGATTGTGTTATATAGATATAACATACATTTAGCTATCTCTCTAAACAAAGGCATCAAAAGCCTAGGAATGCATTAGATATATTTAGAAGTCTGAAAAAGTACATTTGATAAGTTTATACATAAAAGTATGGGCCAGTTTGTTCATAGTTTAACCACAGACTTTGAGTGATTAATATAGAATGAAGTCAAACAATGAAAATAATTACAGCAGTAAGCATAAAATATATTTTTCAAGGAAGGGGGCAGGATTGTGTGTACTCAGTAACTATTTCTAGACAATTACATGTAATGGCAAAGATGAAGGCTAGCTGAATCTCCCTCCTTAGGATCTGAAGGACCTTGGATGTTCCTTAGGAAACAGCTGTTCATGAGGAACATATATATTTCCATTTTTGTTGTTAATTTGTTTCAACTCCTCATGAATGAAGAGGCTAGAATTTGGGTGTTAAGTTAGATGTAGCAAATATAAAGGACAAAGAAAACTATGTGTACAATGGAAAGAACTTACTGAATGTATCTCAACCCTATGGTAGGTAATTTGATCTAATTTTTGCAGAAAGGCAAATGCCAGATGTGTGCTCCACTTTGATCTTAATAACACTTTAGGCTGCAGACAATAAGATTGGTTTAAAATTTATTGTCTCTTTGATTTCTCCATTCTAATGCTTTTTAAATTCTTTACACAGGACAGATCTATATATAGGCAACTGGGGTGGCATCAGAAGCGTTGTATACTTAAGACATTCTTGAAAACCTCAGTGTGGAACAGTGTTTGCTGTTTTATGCATCAAAACAAAGCCAGATTTTATACAAGCAACATTCAATTTTCATTTTATTATAATGTCTCTTTTTATTTTTGCATATGAAGTTCCGAGTGTCGCATCTGTAGCACAGCTCCTTCTACGCTTTTATCTTTCAATAACCTTATTAAAAGTCAAGTCAATATATTAAATCAACATTAAGCCGCAGGAGTTGAAAGTTAAGTTAATCCATTCCCTTGCATTAGGAGTGTAATCTATGTAGATTTTTAATTTTGCTGTTAAATTGCTTTTAGGATTCTTTTTGTACAGCATATGCTTTAAAAAGAGAGTTGCCATTGAACGAACACTAGTGAAAGCCTCTGAGAATGCATAACATCCAAGAGGCATCCAACTTGCCTTCAGTTTGTATGTTCGTGCTCTAGGAGGCCATTGTCTGTGAATGTGAGTTGAACTCAGCTTACGGCTGCTGATTAAGTGGCCCCAGGTTTCCAGCAGAATGTCTTGTATATCCTCTATTACTGAGAAACAATGAAAAGCAAGTGAGACTGAGAACAAATGGTAGAGCAAGAACAATGATTAAAAAGAAACAAATAGAAAAAAATAATAATTCTGGTATGCAGCCTGAATGTCTTATCATAGTTCTCTGGCATAGTTCAGAGCTGCCTATCCCTTAGGTCCAAGCCTGCTGTCTCTAACCAACTGTTTTCACTCTGCTCAGCCCAGTAGCCTGGAAGTTCAAAAAGTCAGACTCAGTTTTCCTCGGAAGGAAATTCTGAACTTTGCTGATGAAACTGCCATCGCTCAGCCAGTCCTGGCAGAGCTTTTTAAAATGGTGGTGTTGATGGGCTATCGGAAGTTGTCAGCCTCTCTCCTCTTGTACCGCC